TGATATCTTCCAATTTCTCTTGCCATTATGTTATATTGAACAGGCAGAGGTTACCATCAGGATTGAGCATTTATTGCAGTTGGCATGGCACAGACATGGTCCTGTCATTGAAGGCCTTACATACTTAGATCTCAGACACCACAATGTTCAAACAACTAACTAGTTTAGTGATTTCAGCAGTTCTAAGTCCTCATAGCTGTTTTTAAAGTACAAAGAACCTTCCTTCCTTGGTTAGTGATTCAGGAAAATTGTTCTGGAAGTGGCCTTGCATGGGAAAGAAAGAAAGCAGAGTTGAAAGGAACACTGGTTGGAAGAAAAAAATCAATATAAAACAGCTAGCAAACAGACAAATCTTTCCTTGCTGGATTTAATCTGCAGGAATATATTGAAATCCTGTTTTTTTCCAACCCTGCTCTTGTCAAGTCCAAAACTCATGTTGCAAATTCTGCTGAGTTTGGTTTGCCTTCCTGTGCTATCTGCCTTGTGCTCTGGCCTTGGCTACCCAGAAGGAAAGGCAGTTCTTCTACTACTGATGGAGTACTGGCTTAGGCTACGTGTGCTCTTACTACTACGTTGTCTAGTTTTGTTTGCAGCAGATAACCATGTGGTTTGAATTATAAATATAAGATCAGTGGGTCATTTGCTTGATGAAGAATGGGATAATTATTTAAATTTTTCACAGTGGGAGCACTGCTTTCCTGAATGGACTGAATAGAACTGAGAAGAAGTAGGTTTCTTTCTTCTGTTAGCTGCTTTGTAGAGATTTTGACTAATACTGTCCAATTGGAGTAATGCAAATCCAGTTCCTGGAGAAGAGAGGTAAGGTGGGTGCCTCCTGGTAAAATGTCAGGCCTGTGCCTCTTCATTCTGTTACTCCTTATAGGGGTTTAAAGAAGTCTACTGTATCCTTCTTTGAATGTGTCTAGTCATCTTCAGTTCCCCCCATCCCCCTGCACCAATCTTCTTGAAACTTAGTAGGCTTTGTGCTCTGAGCAGAAGCTACCACTCCTGCAAGTTTCATCCAAATCAGACAAAAAACAACGTTATAGCTATTTCATTGATTCCCCACTATACCCTATGGCCGGATCTCCGATGGGGCTCTGAAGCTTCAGAGCCACTTCAGCCAGATCTAAGCAAGAGACCGATTCAGAGCTCCGGATCGGATCCCTGGCATCCAAAGAGGTAGGATCTGAAGCTGGATTGAATAGCTGCCTGCTCACACCAGCCTAATTTTTACTGGTCAGTTGCAGGTGCATAGGAAATCTTTAATTTACCAACTTGTTATACAAGTGAAACTAAACAAACTAACATCTTGAGTAACCTAAACTATTTTAAGCAAAGGGGAATAGTGCTCACGAGTCAATCTGTACCCTAAATGGAGAGCTGCAGGAAAATGAGTGAAACAGTGAGAACTCCCAGGTAGAATGAACTAAGACTTGCTGTGCTTCTTGCTGGGGCCCCTAAGTTATAACAGTGCAGAGAGAGATTTTTTTTTTACCCCAGTTCTTTGTACCTTGCATTGTAAGAATGCTGTGGATATAGTGAGATGAAGCTGTACACAGGTGTGTAGTGTTTTTCCAGAAGTAAATTATTGTCATCACCACATGTATAAACTGCTTAAAGTTAATTGAATGACTGAACAGAAAGACAGTGACATCAGTTGCAGGGTTTCATAGTTTCTAGGGTTGGAAGGGACCTGAGCAAATCATCTAGTCCGACCCCCTGCCATGGCAGGAAGAGCACTGGGGTCAAATGACCCTAGTAAGGTGGTCATCCAACCTCCTCTTAAAACCCCCCAGTTTCAGTTGAAGCTGCTGTCTAAAGGCCAGATGTCTCATGCACACACCTGTGCAGGAAGGGAAACCATAGCCACAAGGGTAGTGGGAAGTCCTTAGTGAGCTTTTCTTGGACAATATGTGCAATTGTGAGGGCTCTGCAGGTGCTGCTTTCAGATAGTGGCTACTACTCCATGTAAATGTGTTTAGTCTGTAGCCTGGGGACTGTAGAAGATGCAAGGAAAAAGGTTGTCTATTTAAATTCAGTGGGAGTGTTGTCATTACTTGGAGTGGATTCTCAAGGAATCTATTTTGAAACACTTGGAGGAGAAAAAGGTGTTTAGGAGCAGTCCACATGGATTCACCAAGGGCAAGCCATGCCTAACCAACCTGACTGCCTTCTGTGATGAAGTGACTGGGTCTGTGGCTGCGGGGAGACCAGTGGATATGGTGTATCTTGATTTTAGCACTGCTTTTGAGACAGTCTCCCACAGCATTGTCTTAGGCAAGCTAAGGAAGTATGGGCTGGATGAATGCACTGTAAGGTGGATAGAAAATGGGCTGAAGCATTGGGTTCAGAGAGTAGTAATCAGTGGCTTAATGTCTAGTTGGCAGCTGGTATCAAGTGGAGTGCTCCAGGGGTTGATTCTGGGGCTGGTTTTATTCAATGTTTTCATCAATGACCTGGAAGATGGGATGAATGCACCCTCAGCAAGTTTGCAGATAACGCCATGCTGGGGGGAGTAGTAGAAATGCTGGAGGGTAAGGCTAGGATTCAGAGTGATCAAGACAGATTGGAGGATTGGGCCAAAAGAAATCTCATGAGGTTCAACAAGGATAAGTGCACAGTCCTGCAGTTAGACTGAAACAATCCCATGTACTGGTGCAGGCTGGGGGGCAACTGAGTGGGCAGCAGCTCTGCAGAAAAGGACCTGGGAGTGACAGTGGACAAGAAGCTGAATAAGAGCCAACAGTGTGCCCGTGTTGCCAAGAAGGCCAATGGCATCCTGGGCTACATTGGTAGGAGCATTGCCAGCAGGTCAAGGGAATTGATCATTCCCCTCTATTCAGCACTGAGGAGGCCACATCTGGAGTTCTGTGACCAGGTGTGGGCCCCCACTGCAGAAAGAATGTGGACACATTGGAGAGACACCAGGAGAGCAACAAAAATGGTGAGCAGGCTGGGGCACATGACTTACTAGGAGAGACAGAGAACTGGGTTTATTTAGTCAAGGAGAGGAGACAGGGGATTTAATAGCAGCCTTCAGCTACCTGAAGGGGGGTTCTAAAGAGGAGCTGGACTGTTCTCAGTGGTGGCAGATGACAGAACAAGGAGCAACTGTCTCAAGTTGCAGCAAGGGAAGCTTAGGTTGTATATTAGGAAAAATTCTCACTGGAAGGGTAGAAAAACATTGAAATAGTTTATCCAGAGGTGGTGGACTCTTCATCCTTGAAGATTTTTAAGACCTGGCTTGACAAAGCCTTGGCTGGGATAATGTAGTCGGGGCTGGTCTTGCTTTGAGAAGGGGGTTGGCTAGATGTGACCTCCTGAGGTCCCTTCCAACCCTAATTTTCCAGGATTCTACTTCAACCTCTAATTTAACATAAAAATTTCAAGTGATTATTAACTTAATACATCTCTTGATAAACTGCTCTAATTACCTTTCTCCCTCACCCAAAACAAAACTTGATGTGCTTGTTTTTCTAATTTCATCTTTGTTTCATTTGCTCTTTTTCTGCATGTGTCTATTATATTTTAAGAACCCCCTGCATGTACTTCAGCTGTGCAGTGTTGCTTCTTAGCCTTTTCTTGGATTAAAATGAATAAACTGAACTTCATTTCCTTACCATAAAACAGGTGTTTAAAATTCCAGATCACTCTCATCTTCAGCTTTCCAGTTGAAGTGTACACACTAGAACTAGATGCAATATTTTATGTAGTGGTAATACTACCAACCGGGGGATAAGAGACTTCTGAAACAGCCCACCTTAAGTTTAGTCATTTAGTGATTTCAGCATTGCAACTCTTCACTTTTGGGCAGTTCCTAGCTATTTGTTTTCAGGCCTTGCTGTGTGTGCGCGCGCGTGTGTGCGTGCGTGTGTGCATGTGCGCGTGTGCGTGCCAGACTTCTACCTCTCAACAGAACAGATGCTGCAGGCTATAACCTGCAAGGACAGCAATTCTATAGGAGTGCGGCATTAAAGAAACATGCATGCACATACACTAGTTGCTCTCCCCGTTTCCTGCAGAGGTAGCAAGAGTCTGCCACATGGTTACTTCCTTTTCCAGTCCTTTGGCTCATTAAGAAAAAAAGATGCAGAATCACCTTGCATTGCACTTTTTTAATTGCACAAATACTTTTTTTTTAAATATTAAATGGAGAAAGCAACTCCCTGAAACTAAGTAGCAAAAGAAAAAACAAAAACTTAAAGCATTTACACAGTAAACTTGTTAACTGTACAGTTTTTTTTGAAGAACTGTATTGATCCAGTCACCTGTACATGCAGGGAGAAGTAGCTGCAGCAGTAGCCTACTGACTTGTGGAGGCTAAAATAAGGACTTCACTACTTTCCCTTATTCAGCAGTGAAGAGAAGAGCTAGCTTAGTAAGGAAGGGCTTGCCTAAAGAGGGCAAGTTAGTTGGGACAAATGAACAGAGGCAGAAAGCTATGAGCCTGATGTTCCCCTTACCCTCCTACATGTAGACCTGGAGTTCCTTTTTCAGGAGAAATGTAATGGTGCAAAGGGTAGTGTTGCACCCAGCAGCACGGGGAAATCCAAGATGGGCACAAGCATAACAATACTTGGTTTGGTGAAAACACTTTTTTTTCCTTTTTTAAAAAGGGGGGAGGGTAGTATTTACTTGTGACTAAGAAAAAGGACACATTTCCTGCCCTGCACAGGTGACATTTCTTCCTCTAAAGTAACTATAACACTAGCCAGAAGGTCACACACTGATCAGCTGGGGGAAGAGTTCGCTGGCAAAAGTGTCCCCCCACATGTGGTCAGTGTCCAATGGAGAGGACGTGTCACTGAAGGGAGAAGGGGAGCCTTCATATCCAGAGTCACTACAAGCATCCAGTAGATGACTAGAGGGCTGAAGACTATGATCAGGTGAGAGCAGGTGGAAAATGCCCAGCTCAGGCAGGAAGTTGTTGTCTGCAGGTTCCTCTTTCACTGTAGCTGGGAAGTCAGGGGGATCCTTGCTTTCTGAGGGGGAGAGAGATGCTTCCTCTATTTTCACTAACAGATTGCTTTGATTGATTGTTTGAGCAGGAATCTCCAAGACTTGGGCCTTGGTGTACACATGGTCAAATCGTATCAGTTCATTAATGGCTTCCAGCTTTGCCGATGGGGACCCCAGAGAGGGAGAGGGGGCAGCGGGTAAGGGATCTGATTCCTCTCCATAAATATCTTCTTCCAGCTTTTCCATACAGGCCGACTCTGAGTCACAGTCTTGTAAGAACATGTCTGGGTCCAGGCTGTCCAGGATGCCCAGCAGGAGATCAGACTGCAAAATAAGACCCACTGCTTTAAAAGCAAACTTGCAGGTTGCCGTATCTGTACAAACCAAGCTCACGAGCTGCACCCCTACCCAACTACGTTTACATTCATTAATAAGTGGCCTTCTACCTTTTCAATAATTACAGGCTGCATAAGATATGTCACACCTACTGCTACACAATGGATTTAATACATTAAGAGCTTTCTAGTCATTAACCCTTCAGAAGAGTTTACCAATATATCAGTCTTCTGCACTACTAGTTTGTAGTACAGTAGCTCCTCCAGGCCTGCCCCCCACCCAGTATCAGTTTGCCCATCATGATGATAGGTCAGGGGCATGCAATTATTTTGGGCAGAGGGCAGCTTACTGAGTTTTGACAAGCTATCAAGGGCCACAGAACAGGCAGCCTAGGGCATTATTTTTTTTTTTTTTTTTTTTTTTTTTTTTTTTTTT